TCGTTGTTGTAATTGAGCGAAATCAAACCCATCCGATGGCTTCGCTCTCCCCCCAGTGCCGAGCCCGCAGCGGTGATCCTGGGCAGCGCGCGGCCAGGAGAGCGAGCCGACGGGCGGCTCTGCGAGAGGCAGACGGAGAGTGAACCCAGCACAATGGCCGCTTTCTTCATCTGAAGAGTCAGTCAAATTATGTTAACCGGAGCCTTCATTTAAAACACATGTATGCAGTGTGTGCAGTGGGCTGTGCGGAGAAAACAACATTCCAGCCCCGTGGAGGGAAACTGCAGACCCAAAGTCATTCTCGGCACGATGTACTTGCCGGATTAACCCTTCGCTGGGGCGCTGTCCTTCAGTCTGCTGTCATAATCACACAGCAACAGCTCAGCTGGCCACCCCTGTCAGCGCTGCTGGGACATTTTCCGGGAGCTATCTGTCCCCCCCCCCCGAGGCGAAAGACAAAGTGCAACCTCGGTGCAAAGCTGTTCCCCTGCAGGGGGTGCTCACGCACACGCACGCACACACACACACACACACACACACACACACACACATGACAAGCAGTCACTGGCCCACAAACCATGACACTGGTCATTTAGCCAGTAGAGCACATCAGCATTTAGAGATTGGATAAGAAGAGAACTGATGTGAAAAATAAGGGAGGTAGAGAAGAGGGAAGAGCCCCCCACCCCCAAATAGCAGAAGCAGAGAAATTGCGAGATGACCGTAACCCCCCCTCCCCCCAGCGGTGTGCAGCACAGTGTCCAGCAGGGCGGCACTAGCCAGCCAATCTATTTGCACATACACTGGAGGAACCGGCCCCCGGGGAGACTGATTCATTCCTTCTGGAGGGCTATTAATCTTCTCAGAGTCTGGAATCCCTTTGCCTTTCAGGGACGATGGACGAAACTGAGCTTTTCTTTTTGGTCTTTCCTCACTAGTCCTGGAACACTGAGTTCCTTCCCTGGTTCTGGACCCCTAGCGAAGGCAGAGAGGATAAACTGCAAAAAAGACACATGTCACCACATTAGGCGGCTGCCCCGATTCTGCAGACACAGTTTTATCTATATTAATGTAATCATAGCCAATCAATGATGGCTTTTTTATTAATGAAATAGGTTCAATAAATCAGTGCAGCTTAGCTGCTTTGTGCTGCCATTGGTGAGGGGCCTCAGTGACAGACCATAATACGGTACCCAGATAATAAGTTTTCATTCTAGGAACATTTACCAAACGTTACAATTACGGTATAGAAACATTCCTAATGTCCAGTTTCCAGAATGTTATCCCACTACTACAACTGCTAAGATAATAATATATCTACTAATAAAAGGCATGGCAGGGCAGAGCAGCCGATAGCACTGTCACTTTACACCCCAGTTACACACCCCAGTTACACTTATACACTATATGGCCAAAAGTGTGTGAACACCCTCAGTAATTAGGGGAAGTGAAGTGCCTAATTAAGCCACGCCCATCGCTGACAGGGGAGTGTAGCCGAGTACAGAGACACACGCTCCCCCAGGGAGCCTCATCAGCAGGACGGGGGGTGACTTTCCAACCCTCTTTCCAGCAAGTCATTGTGTCACATTTCTGCCCTGCTAGAGTGAAGCGAAGGAGGTCAGAATATCTGGGAGCGTTTTTGGCCACACAGGCTGACAGAAAGGGACCTGAAATGGGAGCAGATCCCACCAGCAAGGTTCCAGCATCTTGTGTGAAGCCTTCCCAGAAAAGCAGAGGCTATTACAGTAACAATGGGTCACCCAACTTCATATTAATACCCTTCAATCCAGAGTGAGATGCTGGACAAGCCGCTGTCTGGATATCTTTGGCCATATAGGGCAGCACTATTATAAAATAAAATTTAATCACAAAACAATATTTTTCAACATGAATTACATTAAAAGTATGTTCGGGTAATAATAACTTTGAGAAGATCCTTACATAAGGCTGGCTAAAGTTCCCTTTTAGCTGGGTATGTATCAACAGTACTGAGAACACAAACACCTGCCAATCAGAAGCTGGAACATTACAGACACCAGCCAATGAGAACCTGGAACATCATAGACACCAGCCAATGAGAACCTGGAACATCATAGCCACCAGCCAATGAAAACCTGAAACATCACATTCACCAGCCAATCAGAACCTGGAACGTCACAGCCACCAGCCAATCAGAACCTGGAACCTCACAGACATTTGCAACTGATAGGACACAGACACTTACCAATCGTGGGTGGGTAGGGCTCAGAAACCTGCTAATCAGGTGCCAGTAGGGCCCAAACCACCACCAATCAGTAGTTGGAGGGGCCCTGGGACCTACCATTCAGAGCTGACAGAATACAGGCACCTGCCATTCAGGCGTTTGAAGGACATGGGCAATTACCAATCAGGAGTCAGTAGAGCACAGGTGACAGCCAAACAGGAGCCAGTAGGGTGCAGTGGTGTGCTAATCAGGAGCTGTTAAGACACAGACGGCTGCCAATCAGAAGTCCACAGGGCACAGGCACCTCTGAATCGGGGGACAATATATACAGCCGGGTGACGGATTTTCACTGCCCACCTGTGGAGGGAAATGTGCAGAAGCACCATTCACAGAATGGGCTATGTCCCCTCTGTAGGTCGTTACAGTCTGTAGATGAGAAACACAGACGCCAGCTGGTTCACAGTAACTCCTCTCCTTCCATTTCCCAGGGTCTACATCCCTCCGCACTTAAAGGTAAGTTCTGTAAAGGACAATCAGACACCAGAGTCCAGTTAGAACTCTTATCCAGATGCATCAGACATATTTCGAAAGACACTGTGACTCTGGTGGGCACTTGGAACTGCAGTAGTGTCACAAACAATTATCCAGTCAGAATCCACTTCAACCCTTATGTGATTCCAGACACCGGAAATCCATAGAAATCCGAAACACTTCCGTAACAGACGGGCTCTTCCTGGCAGATTTCCTGACAGCAAAACATGGCGGCTGCTTTCGGAAGAGGAATGACAAACAGACGCGGTGCAGCTTAATCAGTGCATGTGTCCAGAAGCAAAGGCGCCTGAGAGGCACAGGCCCAGTGAGGCTTTCTGTGGCCACGCTTGGTCTCACGCCAGGCCAGAACCTGCTGGATATTCCGGGTGAATCTGCATTATCGGGGCAAACTGCTCATTGTGGAGGAAGCCGACATTATAGTCTGTCATCTTTGTGCGACTGTACAGACCAGGGCTTCCTGGTTTTTGATCAAGGGAATGCATCAGGTTTTTGTTCAAAGTCAGAGGTCCGGAACAATTTCCAGTACTTTAGTATTTTAATGTACACTAATAATTTCAACTCTTTGTCATTGGGTGTGTGTGTGTGTGTGTGTGTGTGAAATTTGCTGTTTCTATGTTGTATTTTGTGCTTCAAACCACATTAAGCCTTTTGACGTTAATCATATTGATTCATAAAGTGCATTACTGTCTGGGTCCGGATTAAATTGTGGTTCGATCTGCATCTGGACCACAGTCCAGGTTTTGGGAAGCCCTGCTATATACCAGTGTTTCCTTTCTGTCCACATTTTGCTCCCTCCCAGACGGTCCACATTTTTGCTCCAGCTGGGAGGAGCAGAATCGTGGACAGTATGACAGTCCCTGAGGGCCGGTCTGAGGTGTCCAAACGGGCTCGCCTGGCCCTACGACGTAACGCACACCTTGGATGCTACACGGCTCCTTCCCAGGAGAAACACAGCTTCGTCTCTCAGGTTTCAGAAAACAGAAACAGACAGAGCAGCAATACCAGCGTTACACTCTCCGCTAAAACATGCCGGCATACAGAAAGTGGGCAATTAGCACATAGCTGCAATGGAGGTCCCTAGTCACTGGGAACAGACACAAAAGAAGGCAGTTTTACTGCATGCTATAAATAAACCATCCAAGCGGTGGTATATTAAAAGGACTGCCGGTAGCATGGCGAGTTCTAGTTAAATGGTGGCTAATGGCAGCCCCACGGCACACCGATAACCAGAGGCTAACTGAAGGTCCTCTCTGGGGGGCGGTGGCACTGTTTCCGTTCTCGCCATCCCCCAGCCAGAAACTGTGGTGCCAGGCCAGGCTGGTACCCACCCACCCCAGGCACCTAGACCCCTTGCACAGATTCTACTCACTGCTTTCTGATTAGAAAGGACCCACGGACAGAAAATGTAGAGGACACTGTGCATGCAGACCTGAGGCAGTGCTGTGGAAAAGGTGGGCCACGCTCCAGGGCTGTCCAGCAGGGGCGCTCTTTGGAGACAAGCCTCTACAGGGGGCCACGCTCCAGGGCTGTCCAACAGGGGCGCTCTTTGGGGACAAGCCTCTACAGGGGGCCAGTGGCCCAACGAGCTAAGTCTCTGTGCCTGTCATCAGAAGGTTGTTGGTTCAAGCCCCAAATTCCGTAGAGTAGTGGGCCTTTGAACAAGACCCTTAACCCCCAGCTCCCAGGACACTGCATGCCGGCTGACCCTGTACCATGACCCCCCCCCCCCCCCCCCCC